CCGTTATTCGGTATTCGATCACTGAAGTTTATTTTTTACACAAATTTTTTATACCCTACAAATTTTTTTACCCCCCTAGTGGTAAGGGTATTATGTCTTTGTGCATTAGTTTGTGACATGGAGAAGAAAGGGAGATAGACCCATAGTTACTTTTTAGGATATTTTATGCATTTCAGTCCGTTCGTCTGTCCATGTATTTTTGTGAATACAATACAGGTCGCATTTATTAGCCGATTGAGATGACATTTTCCAAATAATATTTATTTGGCCCACGGACGAACCTTATTGAAATTTGAAGGAATCGGTTCAAATTCAGATATAGCTTCCATATATAGCTTCAACCGATTTCGGGATAATTGTTCACCAAATGACCAATATCAGTCCAAATGAACTAAATTTTGGTACATCCGACCGAATTCAGTCTAGAAGCAAGTACATTTAATTTGAAGAAAATCGGTTCAGATATAGCTATAGCTCCCATATACATGTTTCATCCGATTTGGGGGTTTCAGTCCATCAGATGCGTAATATGCACTCCTCAAGAATGATATATTTAATAGAGCTCAAAAATACCTCTGTCCAATTTTATCGAAATCGGATCAGATTAGGATATAACTCTCATATATACCTTTATCCGGTTCCTGGTTTATTGTGCACCAAATTGCTAATATCAGTCCAACTGGAGTGAATTTTGGCACTATCCGACCGAATTCAGTCTAAAAGCAAGTACATATAATATGGTGAAAATCTTTGCCGTGATCGGCTCAGATTTGTATATAGCTCCCATATATCCTGAATCCGATTTCAGGTTTATTGTGCAAATAATAACTGAACTGAAAATCGATTTAGTATTGCATATGCCTTCCATATACAGGTGAGATAAAAAAACTGCAATAAACTTCAGACTGCTGTCATTTCTAAGCCACTCGGCCGATAGCTATTAAAATTAGTCCAGTGACAGCTCATTATAATGTTTACAAGCGTACAAAAGCATTTTGGTGAGAATTTTCCAGAAAAAAAGTTATTAGTGATGGAATTCAAGCGAGGTAGTGTGATTTCTTTATATTTGGCTGGAAAACCACAAGTGGCTATCGTTAGAGCACTCCAGCATTTAAATGTGAATAAACCTTTCGTGTCTCGTACGTCAAGGAAGTGGACGGAAGAATACAGTAACATCAGCAGAAATGGTTCGAAAAGTAAAGAAGCGACTTGATCGAAACCCGTGTCGCTGTGGCCAAATAATGGCTCGAGAGCTGAACATAACGTAATATTCCATTCGGCAAGAAAATATACTAGTGGTGAACAGCCGAATTTGATTTTCTCTGATGAGAAAACATTCGTTGTCCAGCAGTTTGTAAACAAACAAAATGATCGTGTTTACTTGCCAAAGAGGTCAGCTGAAAATGTGCTATCTTCGGTTGGCCACCAGCACTCATGTGCCGGCCATGGTGATGATGTGGGGTGCCATAACAGCCGATGGTCGCTTGGACATTCCAACAGGACTCAGCACCATCGCACTCAGCACGTGCCACCCAAAAAATGGTTACAGAACGAGGTTCCTCGCTTCATTTCCAGCGCACAATGGCCACCAAAAATCGCCGGATACCAATCCGTTGGACTATTGTGTCTGGAGTATTTTGGAAAGTAAGGTTGTCACTAAAAAATACCAAAGTGTCGATCACCAAGCAAGCAAGCGCTTCGCTGGCAATAGGGTAAAATACCGCACAGCAACATTCGGGCAGCGTATGACGGTGTCATTGGCCGTTTGAAGACCATAATTAGTGCCAAAGGTAACCAATTCGAACAAATCTAAACTTATTCTAAAATTTGATGCTATATCCGACATTTTTTGATTTCAATCAATAAAATTTATAAAAAAAAATGTGAAAATTATGGTGATTGACTTCATTGCAGTTTTTTTTTATCTCACCCTGTATGTTTCATCCGGTTTCGGGGTTTCAGTCCCTCACATGTGTAATATATACTCTTCAAGATTGATATTTGGTACCAGATAACTTATGGAGCTCCAAAATATCTCTGTCAAATTTTATTTACTGTGCACCAAATGGCTAATATCTACCCAACTAGAGTGAAATTTGGCACTTCCAACCGAATTCAGTCCAAAAGTAAGCACATCAAATATCTTGGAAATATTTGCCGTGATCGGTTCAGATTTGTATTTAACTTCCATATATATCCTTAATCCGATTTCAGGTTTGTTGTGCAAATAATGGCTAATATCTGCCCAAATGGAGTGAATTTCAGGACGTACATTTCCATTTGGTGATACACGGCTCCGATATATATTTTTTAATATAATTCTTCTGGTTCATTCTATTTTGTCCTTATGATGATCTTTCTTGTATGTATTTAATAGAATTCCTCAAAGGGAATGCTTTCTGAATATCCACCTTATTACTTGTCTTACTATACACTTTATTAAAAATTCTTCAACTAAAATATGATAGACGTCAATTCCTGTCCATTGTAGATCTACGTTACCTTGGTCATTCATTTCATGGCGGTCCACGCTGCACTGTTGCAAATTATTACTGACGGATGATAAAAATGTAGCAAAGATATGATTTAAGAAAAGCCATTTAATGTCAACGGTCGGATGATATACAAGTTTATTGAAAAGTTTAATGCACCCAGTACAGGTAGTCGAAATGGGAAAAGTTCATAAATATCAAGTAGTTTAAAATCAACTGTTGACTAGGTTTCCTTTAGCAAATAATAATAATAGATAAGTGTAGTACTCTGTGGCATTATAATAAGGTTTTAAGAGGTTAGAACTTCCTTGTGAATATCGAATAAAAATAGAAAATTGTATTCATTGAAAATTCCTTTTTTCTTTTGTATTCACTGCAAAATTAGCTCTAACAATAAATTATGTGTCTATTTTTAGTTCATGTTATGTTCATAAATTATGCATTTCCTGACTCGTAACAGACCTGAATAACCTTACGCTTTAAATGACATTAATGTTAACATTAACTTTTGTTTCTATCAATTTTGGTAACAAAGTAAAAACAAAATAAGCATTGCTATAAATTTTCATTGTGCCGTATGAGTTATGTCTGGTGTCGTTCCTCATACGCTTGGAAGCTCAAAGTAACAAATATTGATAAGACATTTTTAATGGATATAAATTGCATTTCTTAAAATAAAGATATTTGATATTCCGATGGAGAACAGTTCTACAGGGTGAGAGAAAAAAGCTGCAACAAAGTCAAACGCCATTATTTTTTTTTTTTTAATTTTATTCCCGGTGAAGCGCTTGCTTGAGGTGATCGACACTTTGGTATTTTTTAGTTCCAACCTTGCTTTCAAAAATTCTCCAGACACAATAGTTCAACGGATTGGTATCCGGAGATTTTGGTGGTCATTATGCGCTGGAAATGAAGCGAGGAATCTCATTTTGTAACCATTCTTGGGTGGAGTGTGCTGAGTGCAATGGTGCTGAGTCCTGTTAGAATGTCCAAGCTCTGCGGCCAAAATATTTTCACGACAATATTAGGTATTTATTCTGATGTCACGGTTGATTAATACGAGCGAAGAGCGAACGGCGCTTGAGTTCTGGTGACCAACCGAAGGTGCACATTTTCAGCTGACCTCTTGGGCAAGTAAACACGATCATTTGGTTTGTTTACAAACTGCTGGACAACGAATGTTTTCTCATCGGAGAAAATTAAATTCGGCAGTTCACCACTTTCGGCCAAGCGAAGCAACTCTTTAGCTCTTTTGAGTCTATTTTCTTCTTGCACTTTTTGGAATTGGAATGGCTTCACCCTTAATATTTTCCGAATATAATATTGCTGGAATATGTTCAGCTCGCGAGACATTTTGCGGCCACTGCGGCGCGGGTTTCGATCAACTCGCTTCTTTACTTTTCCAACCATTTCTGCTGATGTTGCTTCTTCCGTCCACTTCCTTGACGTCGGGCTACGTTACCAGTATCACGGTAACGAGCGACGGTACGAGACACAAAAGATTTATTCACATTTAAGTGCTGGAGTGTTCTAACAATAGCCTATTGTGGTTCTCACCAAAATGCTTTTGTACCCTTGTAAACAATATAATGAGCTGTCACTGGAATAAATTTAATAGCTCTCAGACGAGTGGCTTAGTAATGTCAGTAATCTGAAGTTGGATGCAGTTTTTCCATCTCACGTTGTTATATACAATTTTTTGAGGTACCTCCGAATCTGATGCTATATCTCGTGTTCCAAGTTGATTAAAAAAAAATGGTTTTCAAGTGTCTTTCAAAACGTCGATGCATGCGACCTCTTTTTTCAGTTCTTCTTTCATAATCATCCAGCCCATAATTAATGTAAAAATTGAATTTTGTTATAAAGTGTAATTTTGTAGAATATGTTGACTTGCAACGATCAGATTTAAGGGAGTTTTTTAAAAATGACCAAAAAGTTCCCTTTGTTGAATTGATAGTTAAATTTTCTACCAAAATGATATTCGTATTGTTTTCAGTAAAAGTTCCGAAGACACTGTATATCTAAAATGCACAGATTCCAAGGAGTTTAGATACGAAAATTTCTAAAAGTGTGGAAGAGGGCGTATCTCTTCATAATCCGAAAATTAGATAAAGGAAGGGAGGAAGGTTGAGGAACTTTCCCCTCCATTTGGGTTACTTAACGATGCAAACTTTCAAAAATCTGTTAGACGTATTTTCCATTTTTAGCTCTTCTTACAGAATATTCTGCGTTTTTTAATTTTAGAATAAGTTGAAATTTGTCGCGCAATATAACCTTGATATTAATATATAAGGTAGTCAGTTCTTCGATCAACAAAATTAATTTTAATATATTGTGGTTTATTTTATCTTTTTTCCAAAATTGTTCGTATTTTGGTTTTGTGAAATAATATTTCCCCCCTCCACATAGTTCTACAGAATTTTATAATTCCAACTATCATATCATGTTTTAGAATCAAATTAACATTTTCTATTCTTTTGTCCTTTTTTCCTTACAGAGCAAAACAACTCCTCGCCCATCTGCACTGGCAAACAATGAATGGAAATTGAAAACAAGCCTTTAAGGCTTTCCCTATTCCAACAACCCCAAGCGAATCACAAAAAAATACAATTTCCTTCAATTTTCCACTCTGAGGTTACAAAACAATAAACAACAGCTGATGTGGTGACCACCACACAATTGGCCAACAAAATCAGCCGGCTGTTCATCTTCCAACGAAACATGGAAATGCTACTATCGAACAATGACGGCAATCAAAGTTATTCCATTCTCTATGCCAACGATGAATTACAAAATATGGCTGCCGCATCGTCCTCAGCTGCATTCTCCCAACAGCTGCCCGCCATTCCATCCATATCCACCTCATCATTCAGTTCATCGCTGAGCTATCTGCCAACAGCTGCCGGTGATGTTTCGCCCTCCATGCACTGGCAGTGGGATGCAATGCCATCGCCCAAAGCTCTGCTGCTCAACAGCGAATGGCTGCAACAGAATATGAGCCAAATGTTAAATATATCTGCGGAAAATTTGACAAATCTAATAACGTCCATCCAGCGAGAACATATTGTGCCCGAACGGGCTCCCCTGCCGCTGCTGACCACATTGACGGTGTGCTATTCGCTGATTTTCATCGCCGGTGTCCTTGGCAATCTGATAACGTGCATTGTGATATCACGCAATAAGATAATGCATACCGCAACGAATTTTTATCTCTTCAATTTGGCTGTGTCGGATTTGATTTTATTACTGTCGGGTAAGTTGGAATAACGAAACAAAAAAATCCTTTAAGAAGAAAAATCATACCTTTAAAGCCTTCCAAATTGTATGACTTCAGTTTTTCTGGAAAAAAGGAAAAGAACCCCTACTGTCCTCCTCATTTCCATTACAATTTATAACAATTATAGAGCCATTAACCAGCTGTCATTTGTCCTGGCTTCCATATCCATTATCTTCCGTCTAATTACACTTAGTACTCTGTCAAGATAGCTTTCACTCGGATCTGACAACATCTAATTGAGGCAAAAAAACAGCATTTCACCGATTTGTCAGCAATTAATCATGACCCCCAAAATGTTGGTTTCATTTCATGTGACCCAATACCCTAAAAGTTTGGAGGTCTTTTTTACGTTTTTAATTATCTAATTGTTGCGTGTTTTCAAAATTTGCCGAAAAAGAGGACAGGCAAAATGGAAAGGAGGTCAGGCAAAATGTTACCTGTTGATTAACATATTTAATCCAAAGTATGTCACATGGACGCATGGACATGTTGAAATCGCGGAAATAGGACATGTGTGATGAAGGATAATGAGTCATTTTTAATTCTTGGAAAATGAAAATTTCGGCATTTTACCAAAAAATTGGGGTTTTAATTCATTTCAGCTCAGTGGGGGCATTTTAAAATTCCAACCCATATTGAGCAACTTTGTGAATGTTTTTATACCCTACACCACATAGTGGTAAGGGTACTATGTCTTTAAGCATTTGTTTGTAAAATGAAGAAGGAAGCGATATAGCTATGGGTCTACTTTTGAGGATCCTCATAAAATCACTTTCTGAGCCGATATATGCATGTCAGTTCGTCCGTCCGTCCGTCCATGTATTCCTGTGAACAAAATGTAGGTCACATTTATTATCCGATTCAGATGAAATTTTGCAAACAATGTTTGTTTGGCCCAAGGATAACCCCTATTAGAATTGGTGATACTCGTATCAGATTTAGATATAGCTGCCATATATCTTCAACCGATTTCGGATTAATTGTGCACCAAATGGCCAATATCAATCCAAAAGTCATGAATTTTGGTACATCCAACCGAATTCAGTCTAGAAGCAAGTACTTCGGATTCGGAGAAAATCTGTTAACATACGGGTATAAGATCCAATACCAAATTTAGTACCACCTAGTACCTAGACTTCTTTTAGACGAATTTAGAAGAATATTGGGAATTTATAACCAATTTACGGAAATAAATCCAAAACAACCTCTTTGTTTTAAATAGTCAACCAAAATTATCCCCAAATTGTAGTACAGTAAGTGCAATATGCAAGAAGATCAAAATCTTAATCGGAAAATTGAAATAAATGTGGACCATTGTTTATAAACTGTTATTCGGCAAATGACTGATAAAAGTGAATTCTAATATTCCACCATTGAGTATACGTAATATTTACTGGCAGCAATAAATGTGCATCATACGCCATGATTGTCTCTTGTACGAATAGTCTCAAATAAAAATTATAATTTCAAGCTCCAAACTATTTATTCTTACACCCTCCTCCTCGAAAAGGAAGTTATATTAACTTTGTCATTCCGTTTGTAACATCCCTAAATATTCGTTATATACCCCATAAAGTATATTTATATTCATGATCATCATAAAATTCTGCGTCGATTTAACGATTTCCGTCTGTTGCAATCACGATGCAGCCCACATTATTTGACGTAGACCTTCAAAATTTGGCACAACTATTTGTACTGTGTCTAGGATGGTTGATATATCACTTCACGTTTTGGTATAGCCACAATATAACGGTGCCTGCCGATATACGGTATTTCGATGATTTTCCCACATTTTTTACGGATTTGTCTAAAATTTGGTATTTTTAGTTCATAATGGATTCTGGCACCGGTGGCAGAACATACAATGGTACCTCGGTGACTTAAGCTACATTTTTCACCGGAAATGTTTCAAGTTTGGTATTTGAAGTTCGTAATGGATATTAAAAAATTACCTGTGCAGTTCCAAATTTTGATATAGCCCCCATATAATGGTACCTCCTTATATTCGGTATTTTAATGATTTTAGCTACACTATTCACCGAATATTTTTTTTAAGTTGCGCATTTGAATATAGAATATATATAGGTTCACTTCGTCGTATAGACCTTAAAAATGGCTACATTCGGTAGTTAACAGAGTTTTTAACGGATTTATTTATTTTTTTTAATTGCCAAATTTGTTGCAAAATAGCGGAGGATATTAAAAGTTCAACTTGTTTTACTTATTTTCCATGATTTTCTTTATAAATATTTTAGTCGACAAATTCACTTCGTTTCCAACTTGAAGTTAAAATCCATATTTTTTTGAGATGAGTAATTGTATCTCCTTAAAAAGTGTAAATCCCCACTCCTCCTTCTTATTTTCGTTGAAATTCTAGCATTTTCATGAGACTTGCAAAATTGAGTTCTGAATAATTTCCTTATTTTTTGCGAGTTACGTATTCAAATTTTATTATCTTCCTTTTTTCAGGTATGCCTCAAGATTTATACAATCTCTGGTATCCATACTCATATCCCTTCGATGATGTGCTGTGTGTCATGGAAGGTGTTCTGTCGGAGACAGCTGCCAATGCGACTGTCTTGACCATAACAGCGTTTACAGTGGAGCGGTATATCGCAATTTGTCATCCATTTCGGTAAGTTAGAGAAAAAATGTAATCAATGTGTGACATTTTCCGAGAAAAGCTAGTTGAGGGGAGGAAAATATTTTGAAAATTGCATTTCACAAAATGGCATTATAAATATAGTATGTAAAAATGTTGAGATTTTTAAACGGATTCCAAATAATTGAATGGTTGTATGCATAGCGTATGAGTAATTTTATATATTTCATATCACTCATACGCAGAGCTCTCATATAATCGACGGGGTGAAGAGTTGTGATAATCCTGTTCGATCGAAGGAACTAGTTCTTTATCTACTTCCGCGCACTTCGGTCGTTTGCTTGAAAACTCTACGTATGAGTCATACGTTTAGGAACTGGTATACAGAACTATGAACTAAATTGACACAACTCTTTAAGATTATCTAGATAAAAAACTGCAATAAAGTCAAACGCCATAATTTTTACCTTTTTTTTTAAATTTTGTTAAATGAAAGCAAAAAATGTCGGAAATAACATGAAATTTAAGAATAAGTTTACATTTGTTCGAATTTTGTCAACTTTGGCACAAATTATGGCCTTCAAATGGCCAATGAAACCGTCACACGCTACCGAACATTGCTCTGCGGTTTTTTGGCCCATTCCCGGGGAAGCACTTGCTTGATGTGATCGACACTTTGGTATTTTTTAATGCCAACCTTGCTTTCCAAAATACTCCAGACACAATAGTCTAACGGATTGATATCCGGAAATTTTGGTGGCCATTTCGCGCTGGAAATGAAGCGAGGAACCTCGCTTTGTAACAATTCTTGGGTGGCGCGTGCTGAGTGCGACAGTGCAGAGTCCTGTTGGAGTGTCCAAGGTCTGAAGCCAAAATGTTTGCGTGTCCAAGGCTCCAGAATATTTATGCTGTAATAACCGGCATTTATTCTGATGCCACAGTCCATTAATACGAGCGGAGAGCGGCCATCGACTGATATGGCGAACCACACCATTACCATGACCGGCGCTTGAGTTCTGGTGTTCAACCGAAGGTGCACATTTTCAGCTGACCTCTTTGGCAAGTAAACACGATCATTTTCTTAGTTTACAAACTGGTGGACAATGAATATTTTCTCTTCGGAGAAAAACTAATTCGGCAGTTCTCCACTTTCGGCCAACCGAAGCAACTCTTTAGCCCTTTTGAGTGTATTTTCTTTCTGTAGCGGTGTAAGTTCTTGCAGTTTTTGGAATTTCAACGGCTTTATCCCGAGCTCCTTTTTCAATATTTGCCAAATGGAATATTGCGATATGTTCAGCTCACGAGCCATTTTTCAGTCACTGCGGCGCGGGTTTCGATCAAGTCGTTTTTTTGCTTTTCGTACCTCTTTTGCTGATTTTACTGTTTTCTTCCGTACACTTCCTTGACGTCGGGCTACGCTACCAGTATCACAGTAACGACCGACGGTACGAGACACAAACGATTTATTCACATTTAAATGCTGGAGTGCTCTAACGATAGCCACTTGTGGTTTTCCAGCCAAATATCAAGAAATCACACTATCGTGCTTCAATTCCATCACGAATAACTTCTTTTTCTGGAAAATTCACACCAAAATGGGTCTGAGCGCTCGTAAACAATATAATGAGCTATCACTGGAATTATTTTAATTTAACAGCTGTCGAACGAGTGGCTTAGAAATGACAGCAGTCTGAAGTTGTTTGCAGTTTTTTCATCTCACCTTGTATTTAAATGAGTACCTCTTAACCGCACAAAATTTCCAAAAAATAACCTTTTTTTGAATTTCCATTTAATCTCTTTTGGCATCCCCTTGCAAATTTTTGAAATTCTGAATACGAATGAGCAAACAACGACGATATTGTAAAGCTTCTGCATCAGTGCGGAAATCATTCAACCAAAGGGGGAAATGGCCAAAAATTGCCAATGCAAAATGCCAATAAATTCCATTGATGGTCAAATAATGCAAATCCTTTTTTTTTCTCTACGACAGAAATTTCGTAGCACACTTGGTGCTTCGGAGCAACATCTATCAATATTACATTGAAGAGGACTTCAAAAAATTTTTTTCAATGTTCCACATGCACTACAGAGCGCAGACTGAATGAAATACCCATGCCAACCAAAATTCCATCCATGGCAATGGAAAGGAAATTACTTTACCTCCCACACGAAGGACAAAAAGAGTATTGGGCGTCTACCAAATTTGAATAGCATTGACGGCTGAAAGAATACGAGTGTGTGAGTGTGGGTGTTTTTGCTGGCCTGATTGCCAGCCAAAAAGAAAAAAACAACCAACCCTGCCATATAATCCAATGTTGTGTATTAGTAATATTTACTGGCCATAATGAACATTCACCATACGGTCCAATGGTCCCATTAGGGGATTAACTAAAGTTTTGTGTGGCTTATAAAAGCAAAAGAAAAAAACGACAAAACAAAATGCCCACAAACTTCAAAGAACTAAAGTCCCACAACATTTCATTAAACTTCGTCCATAAGCTGCAATAATAAACTTCAATTTATGAAAAGGAAAAAACTTTGCTAATAAGCCGCCATAGACAATAACTAATGAGGCTATGCTCACAATTTGCGGAAAGGCTTAAGAGCATAAAAAAATATAAAAATATATGGTCAAGAGTTTTAAAAAAGGAAGAGAATTAAAAGAAGTTCTGCAGATATTTAAAATTTAAGGAAACAAAAATGGAAATGGGTTTCCAGGAAAAAATATTTATGAAGGGAGAAACATTTAAGAGAAGAGAATACAGATTTTATCTGTACAGAAGCCATTAAACAAAGCATCATAAGAGAGAGAGGTAGAATACATTGTAAAAGTCGTCTATAGAGAAAATACCCATTTACTACTTTTCCATGGAGAGAATCATTTTCAGTTGTATTTATAGGCAGAAAACATTAAAAAACTGTCGTATAAGAAGTTAGAAAGTATCTCTGTGGAGAGGTTTCTGAAGGAATGGTCCGATCGTTACATATTTATAACAAATCTTGTATTGATAGAAGTATTGAAATGTACCAAGTCTGAATGGAATCGGATGTTAATTTCACGTTGTATGAGCTTCATGGATATTCTATATTTTGACCCCTTTGTAGAGGGGGGGGGGGGACCGGTATAATAATAACATAACAATAAAATCCATTTTTACACCAGATCCTGGGTTTATAAAAATATTGTGATATATGACATTCGAAAAGAATCAAACTTTTATGTCACATTTTATAAGAGTTATAATAACTCAAAACTGTGGGGCAGGTAGCAGAAGGGATGGACCGATATATCCTATATTCACATCAGATTTTTTATTAATAGAAATACTGAGATGTGCGAAATATGAAGAGAACCGATTGTTTATTCGAATTTTATGATCGTTTTGGCTATTCAAAAATTTTAACCCCTTTGTGGGATAGATACCAGAAGGAATGAACCGATATATTCCATCTTCACACCAGATCTTGGGTTTATAAAAATATTGTGCGGTATGAAATTTGAAGACAATTGAGCTCTTATGTCACATTTTATTAGAGTTATAATTATTCAAAATGTTGACCCTTTGTGAGGGAGGTACTTGGCCGAGTGGACCAATGTTGTCCATTTTGCAACCTGACCTAGCACTATTAGAAATGTTGGGATTTTCAAAGTTAGAGCAAAATTGTATGATCCTTCCTCTTTTCGTGCCGTCAAATATTTTCTTTGAAAATTCTCATCTTTTGGTGAGGCGTACAGGAGAAGTGAACCCATATTTCCCATTTCCGAACTCGAACTAAGTTTTTGTAATAATATTAATATGTACCAAGATTGGATCAAATTGGTTACTTCCTTCGAGAATTGTCTTGCGCATCAGCCATCAGTCAGAAACAAAGTCGGACGGACATTATTAGATCGACTCCAAATGTTGTGAAACGCATTTGGTCCAAAGAGACCTAGGGTCTAAAACCGTTATTTCGATACGGCACGCTTTGATACGGTATCAAATTATATATCCTCCCTAGCCATATGGCTTAGGTAATAAAAGGGACCTTTTACAGGTATTTCGTTGAACGAATATCCTTTAGAGATCTTCTTTAGAGAGTAGACCTTGTACCGATTTTCCATAGAGAGAGGACCTTTTACAGGCCTTCTATACCCAGAGGACCTCTTACAGGTCTTCTATACCCAGCAGACCTTTTATAAGTCTTCTATATCCAAAAGGCTATTTACCGGTATTCTACACCTAGAAGACCTCTACAGGTCTTTTATACCTAGAAGTCGTTTTACAGGATATCCATAAGACATATCTTCTATACCGAGAAGAACTGCTACAAGTCTTCTATACCGAGTAGAACTTTATAGTCACAAGACCGTTTAAAGGTCTTTTATAGTCAGAAGACCGTTTAAAGGTCTTCTATATCCAGAAGATCTTTTACATACCTTCTATACCCAGAAGACTTTTATAGGTGTTCTGCAACAAAGAAAACCTTTACACCTCTTGTATACCTAGAAGACTTTTTACATAAACAGGAGGCCTTTTGCAGGCCTTCTAAACTGAGAAGAATTTGTACAGGTCTTCTACCCAGAAAACTTTTTACAGCTCTTCTATAAACGGAAGACCTTGTAAAGGTCTTCTATACCCAGAAGAACTTTTAGTGGTGTCTATACCCAAAATACCACTTAGAGGTCTTCTATAACCAGAAGACCTTTTATAGACCGTCTATACCCAGAAGACCTTTTATAGGCTTTCTATACTCAGAATACCTTTTACAGGTTTTTCTATACCAATATATCTATTTACAGATCTGCTATACCCAGAAGGCCTTTTACAAACTCTCTATACGCAGAAGACCTTTTACAGGTCTTTTTTACCCAAAATACCTTTTACAAGTCTTCTATTCGCAGAAGAACTTTTACCGGTCTTCTATACCCAGAAAGCCATTTGCAGACCTTCTATACCCAGAAGGCCATTTGCAGGCCTTCTATATCCAGAAGACCATTTACAAGTCTTCTATTCGCAGAAGAACTTTTACGGGTCTTCTATACCCAGAAGGCCATTTGCAGACCTTCTATACCCAGAAGGCCATTTGCAGGCCTTCTATATCCAGAAGACCATTTACAGGTGTTCTATAAGATTTTACCAATCTTGTATAGAGAAAATACCTTTTACAGGTCTTCTATACCCAGAGTACTTTCTATACACAGAAAATCTGTTACAGGTCTTCAGATATTCTATACCGAGAAGACCTTTTACACTTATTCTATATCCAGAAGTATTAACAGGACTTTTATACCAAGACGACCTTTTACAGGTATTCTATACCCAAAGCCATTCACCGGTCTTCTATATGCAGAACAATTTTTAACTGTCCTCTATACCTGAAATACCATTCAGAGGTCTTCTATACCTAGAAGAATTTTTAACTGTCCTCAATACCCGAAATACCATTTAGAGGTCTTCTATACCCAGAAGACCTTTTACAGGTTTTCTATACCCAAAAGACCTTTTACAGGTTTTCTTTACCTAGAAGACCTTTTAAATGTCTCCTATACCCAGGGGACCCTTTACGGATCTTCTGTACAGATCTATACCAAGTAGGTATAGATCTGTACAGAAGATCTGTAGGTATACCTAGAAGAATTTTTATCTGTCCTCAATACCCGAAATACCATTTAGAGGTCTTCTATACCCAGAAGACCTTTTACAGGTTTTCTATACCCAAAAGACCTTTTACAGGTTTTCTTTACCTAGAAGACCTTTTAAATGTTTCCTATACCCAGGGGACCCTTTACGGATCTTCTGTACAGATCTATACCAAGTATACCTTTTGCAGACCTCCAAAAAGACCTGTTGAAGTTCTTCTACACCCAAAAGACTTTTTATAGGTCTTCTATGTCCAGAAGACCTGTTACAGGTCTTCTATAACCAGAATATCTTTACCGGTCTTTTTTACCCAGAAAAACATTCACAGGTCTTCTATGCCCAGAAGAACTTTTATATGTTTTCTATACTCAGAAGTCAGTTTACAGGTCTTCTATGCAGGGAAGACATTTCAGAGGCCTTTTATACCCAGCCTACCTTTTACAGGTCTTCATATCCAGAAGACTTTTTACAAGTCTTCTCTATAAAGAGGACCTTTAATAGGTCTTGTACAGGGCTTCCAGGAAAATACCTTTTCTACTTTTCTATTTTTTTTTTTTTTAATTTTTCAGTTTTTAAATTACATTTCCGAATCGCCCACTTAAATATTTGTTTATAAATTAAATCCTATTTAACACACGAGTAAATATTTAATATAAACAAACGTTTTTGTTTCCAAAAAAAAATATTAAACAATTATAAATTTTCTAAGCCAACATTGTAATTGATTGAACCCGAAATTAAATTACCAAAATTTGGAGGGGAAAACTCCCCACCTATAGTTTGTTCAACAATTGTTTTAATTACATTTACCATGGATTTAATATTTATTTAAAATCCACATTTTTTTCTCTTCTGTTTTGCTTTTCTTTCCAGCCAGCACACCATGTCGAAATTATCACGGGCTGTTAAATTTATATTTGCCATCTGGCTGACCGCGTTTGTGCTGGCAATGCCACAAGCGATGCAATTTTCCGTTGTACAATCGTATGGCGGGACTGAATGTTCGGTAAGTAAACTACTGTGGCAACCTAACAAGCAAACAATGGAAATTAGAAACAACAATGACAACACTGGTGTATGTGTGTTTAAGGCAAATAATGTGGATGTACATTGGGGTGGTGGAGCATGAAATGTTTTACATTTTTGTAAGATTTTTTTTCTGAAATTTTTTATTATTATTATTATTATTATTATTATTATTATTATTATTATTATTATTATTATTATTATTATTATTATTATTATTATTATTATTATTATTATCATTATTATTATTATTATTATTATTATTATTATTATTATTATTATTATTATTATTATTATTATTATTATTATTATTATTATTATTACTATTATTATTATTATTATTATTATTATTATTATTATTATTATTATTATTATTATTATTATTATTATTATTATTATTATTATATTATTATTATTATTATTATTATTATTATTATTATTATTATTATTATTATTATTATTATTAGTATTATTATTATTATTATTATTATTATTATTATTATATTATTATTATTATTATTATTATTATTATTATTATTATTATTATTATTATTATTATTATTATTATTATTATTATTATTATTATTATTATTATTATTATTATTATTATTATTATTATTATTATTATTATTATTATTATTATTATTATTATTATTATTAGTATTATTATTATTATTATTATTATTATTATTATTATTATATTATTATTATTATTATTATTATTATTATTATTATTATTATTATTTTATTTGTTTGTTTTGTTTTTTCTATTTATTTAATTTTCCTTTATTTTTTATGTTTTTAATAATTTACTTTATTTCTTATTTATTATTAATAATAATTTTTATTTTTAATTTAATATTTATATATTATTATTTCGTTATTATCTATTATATACACTTTATTTTATACTTGTTTTTTATTTATAATTTTTATTCTTTATTTTAACAACTTTTTTCTCGTTCCTTCCCTAATGTATATTTTACACATGTTGTCCTTTAACATAATTGCAATGTGTTCGGGTTTTATTAAAACAGACTTATTCAAACCGAAATCGTATTTTTTCTACCCCTCCCCTTATCACCACAACTTCCCTCACCCCCTCCCCCCATTCTATTTCCAGATAAACAATGACTTCTTCGCCCATGTATTTGCCGTGTCGGGGTTTATATTTTTCGGTGGACCCATGACTGCCATCTGTGTGCTGTACGTTTTGATTGGTGTCAAATTGAAACGCAGCCGCTTACTACAGACGGCGCCCCAGCGTTACTATGTTGTGAATCGTGGCATCAGTGCCCAGACGCGGGTTATACGAATGTTAAGTAAGTAAAACGAGAAAACTGAATAAAAAATAGGATGTCATCCATTTTTTAGTTGTGCCTGTTAAGGCCGCATATGCGACGGAGGAAGCTAAAGAAAAAACTAACGAATGAACTATGTGTAAATCAAAGTGTGTCTGCTGGGGTGTGTGTGCGTGTTTCACACATTTCTATCCAACACGTGTGACCCCTAAGAGTCATTTATGTGCGAATGTAGCCAGCCAGTGTTGCTTTTAAGGAACTCCTTTTTTATGTTCGATTTTATGTGATTTGCTGACACTGGTGCTCCATACATTTTATGTACTTCCCTAGACTATGGGTCTTTTTGTAATAATGTCGAACAGTGGCAATGTGCAATTTATTTTTCCTTTAACATATATGTATATATGTATGTATATAAAGGAAATGTTACTAAGAAAACTTTCCTCATAAAAATATAAAATGCATTTTGTAGTCATCACTTAGTAATCAAAAAAGAAAAAGAACACAGCATTTGTTGCAAAGCACGAGGATCTGTTTTTAAAGAAATATTATATGCAATCAGGACAGCATAAAAAAGATGAAAAAATGGTTTACATTTTTTACAACAAATATTTTATTTAAGAAATGTTGGCTGATTTCATCAATCTCTTGACAATACATGTAAGGGTCATTTTTGGAATTATGAACAAAAATGAAACGGCTGAAGCTAGAATCTTGAAATTTTTGGACGAGAGTCACTCTTAGTCGGGAGAGGTCAGACAAGGCTGAGTTTTTGGAAATTCGTACAAGAACGGTATGCAAAGTATTAAAATGTACTAAATGGTAGCCCTTGTATTTCAGGAAGTATTAGGGCTAGACATTTGGAACCAGGTTCACTGATGGAGTGTATGATAGATGTACCAAATGGTTTTTGAAAATTCGCACAAGAAGAATATGAAAAGTACTAAAATGTACTACATTTGATACCATTTCATAATACGTGAACGATTACAGCTAAAAACTTGGGCTTAACTCTAGTTTAGTAAAAACTCTTCAATTGTTTCGAATTTTTTTCCAGTGGTAGGTATTTACCCTGATTCCGGGAAACTATTTTTTGCTTGGGGGACGGACACGGGACCTCAGATTTTTGACCCAAAAGTCCGGGTTCAAGACCCCGACTTGACCCGGATCCAATTACCCAATGCTATAAACTTGAAATAAACCTTCTTTTATTGAAATCATAATTTTAATGAACTGGTTAAAATCAAGTTAGCCGGATGGAAAGACCCATATCTCTGAACTTAGTAAAGGTATTAGCACAAATTGTAGCAGTTTGGAAAGGTAAGAGTGTCAACTATAATTTGGCATTAATTTTATTGACCCCTATAATGGGCCTTTTTTTACTTTTTGGGGGTTTTATAAAAAATCCGGGTCCAAAAAATCGATAATTTGACTATAACTTCCGAACCACTTACTCCATCATATGAACACTTGTTGGATAGGTATTTTCACAAGCTCCAAACGATACCTATATGCAATCTGGGGTCCGTCCCCCAAGAAAAAAAGTTTCCCGGAATCAGGGTAAAAATACCTACCTCTGGAAAAAATTTCGAAAAAAATCGAAGAATTTTTGCTAAACTAGAGTTGTTCCAAAACTTGAAATTTGGAATTGTAATTAAGGTTGAGGAGTAGGGTTGATATAAGGATGTAGTTTTGGAAGTGCGTACTCATGTATACGAAAAGTACTAAAAAGTACTTTATTTAGTACAATTCGAATTTGGTACAGAAAGTACTAAACGGTACTAAAAAGTACTGAAAGGTACTAAATTTAGTACAATTTGCATTTGGAGAAACGAATGGAGTTGGAATCCTGAAATTTAGAAATATGATTACTTTTGCATTCTAGGACTGAGGCCTGCAGACAGTTTTGGAAATTTGTACTCATGTGGTACTAAATTTGGTACAGTTTAATTTTGGGTGAAAAAATAGAGTTGGAATCCTGAAATTTAGAATTTGTAGTAATGGAAATTTGTACGTATGTATACTAAATGATACTAAATTCGATAAAATTTTGTTTCGGTTGAACGGATTGATTCGGAAATTTAAAATGTTGGTATTGAGGTCTCTGCTGGTGGATAGGGTTAAGATGACGAGTTAGGTTTAGACAAGCTGTGGAAAAGCTGGTCTTCATAAACCAGCTGTGGAAGAACTGGTCTTCACAGACTAGCTGTGAAAGTGCTGGTCCTCATAGACCAGCTGTGGAAGAGCTGGTCCTCATAGACCAACTGTGGAAGAGCTGATCTTCACAAGACAGCTGTGGAAGAGCAGGTCTCCATAGACCAACTGTGGAAGAGCAGGTCTTCATAGACAAGCTGTGGAAGAGCAGATCTTCATAGACTACCTGTGGAAGAGCTGGCCTTCATAGACCAGCTGTGGAAGAGCTGGTCTTCATATGGACCAGCTGTAGAAGAGCTGGTCTTCTTATGGACCAGCTGTGGAAGAGCTGGTCTTAATTGACCATCCGACAAACAGACAGTTAATGGACCTCCAACAGCTTGCCATCTGACAAACACACTTGCAAAAAATAACAAATGAAATTGGAATGCAAAAAGTGGAAGAAATCCAAAAGAAATTTTATATTCGCTTGCAATTCGCTCAAATCGTTTTGTTTTCTGTCTTCCTTTAGCGTAATACGTACTAAAAAGTGCAAAATTACTAAATAGTAATAACTTTGGTACTTGGGGAAGAAAGTCTGAGCTGGAACTGGAAAATTATGAAATTTGGAGTGAGAGTCTTTGATATTGTGTAGGATAGATAAGCTTAAAGATTTTTCGAAATTCTGACGAAAAGTGTGCCGAAAGTACTACAAGACACGAAATTTGGTGCCATTAGGTATTGTGTAAAATGGAAATTTAGAGCTAGAATGAAGTCTAGAAAAACGATTGATATGAGAAGGCTGTTTTGGAAATGCTTACCAAACTTAATAAATTGTGGTCTTTTTTAAAGACCAAAATATATACATTATATTTGTGGTGAAAAAAAAATTCTCATCATATAAATGCACTTAACATGAAGTCCTTATTCCGCATACGAAGTAGTGGCCATCTGTCAGCTTGTTATATTTTTAACTTTCCTAATTTTAAATCATACCCACTATGACTCTAATAATTCCATGCATATATTTAATAATAATTGAAAATTATAACTGATATTTCTTGTGTAATTAGAAATTACGTATTCTTTTGTGTAGCCGTGAAGTAATGGAGAACCATTGCTACAAATCGAATTATAATTAGATTACGATAAATTAACTTAATTATATTTCCAAAAAAAAGTGTATTTATGTAGTTATATTTGGAGTAACTATGAATTATTGATAACTCATTGTGTCATGAATAACAATTGATACAAATAGGAATTACAAAATAAAAATAAGCCAACAACATGGCTAGAAAGGCTATTTTTTCGTGGAAGTGTTTTGCTCATTAATTTGTCCCGAAAATGATACAAGGACTTTAATATACTTACATGTTGGATGTACCCCATTGTTGAGGCTATTCCAAAGATGCGATGTTCAAGATTCAATTCACTAAAAACGCAAAGGTCACATTACAATATTGTAGATGAGACACTCATAATATGATTTGTAGAGTTTCTACCCAAGAAGAAAAAAATAACAGAGAATTCGGTTGAAAGATGTAACTGAACCCTACTTTCAAGATTTCAAATATTATGAGGTATCGTTTTAAATCTAAAAAAATTAATTCATTAATCTATATTTGGATATTATTTACTTTTAATTTTTGTGAAAAATACTACTTTTATTTGAACGAAATTATTAAATCTAAAAGTTAAAATGATTTATTTAAGACTTGTAGTACCAAAAATTGTGGCCTATACAGTAAATATTTAAAACTGGTCAAAATTAGAACTACGGTAGGAAAAATTGTAAAGCCCATTTCGGGGAGCACCATGAAAATTGTCCTGTGGGAAATTGTTGCATAGATATATTAAGATGCTTATATTTTCGTCTAATTAACAAATGCGGAAAATATATACAGCTTGAACGGACAACATTTTCAACATTTTCCAAGATCTACCTTTTCTTAAAGAATATTAGAAAATGTTTACCTATATAACAAAAACTCATTCATGGATATTAGTGAAACCATTGCAAAATGGACCCACATTCAATTTTTTCTGTCCAAAACTATTTCGATGTTGTAAGCCCTAAAAACTAACATTGAAATCAATATCAAATTTCGTAATTTCAACTATATTTCCTCACCCAACGGCGTTGGTTGGAATTCTCACTTTTCGTACGTACTATTTCCAAAATCACCTCCATATCTTAACAAAAGATACCAACAGAGAACTCATTGTCAAATTTCGGGATTTCAGATCTATACATTCACTCAATACAAAATTTAGTAACATTTAGTACTGTTCGCATAATTTTATTACTAATTTGCTAAAGCGATCCATATCTTAATCAAAAAAACACCAACAGTAATCGCAAAATAAAATTTCACGATTTCAACACTATCCCTTCACCTAATACCAAATTTAGTATCACTTAGTACTTTGCGTACAAATATAGGACGTATTTCCAAACAACCGCCAAATCTCAAACACAGATTCAGAATTGTATCATTATTCCTTCACCTAATATCAAACATAGTACCATTCAGTACTTTTCGTACAATTATTATACACATTTCCAAATCCACTTCTTTATCAGCATCATCCTAAACCAGAATGTTCCAAATTTAATACCATTTAGGACGGTTCGCATGATGAGTACACATTTCTAAAACCACCTTCACATATCAAACTTATTTTCCAACCTTGATTTTCATACCAAAGTACCCGTAACGGTGCCCCAGGAACATCCTTTGAAATTGACTGACAAACATTACTTTAAATTCTATGCTACGTTTGGTGGATGATATGTATTAGACTTGTGTCCAACCAGTTCATATTTTAGTACACCAGTTCCTAAACGTATGAGTGATTACATAAATTACATATTACTCATACGC